CGTGACCACGTCTTCGAGGACTCGTACCGTGAGCTGCACCGCAAGAGCCCTGAGGAGATGAAGAACCGCCTGTGAGTGCCCTGGGACACCCTAAAATAATGCTGGGCACCCCAAAATATACTCGGGACACCTCAAAATACACCTGGGGCACCCCAAATTTACCCCTGGGAATCCGGAATAACCCCAGAACACCCTAAAATATACCCGGGGCACCCTAGAATATACCTGAGGCACCCCAAAATAGCCCCTGGTTACCCAAAACACCCTTGGGACACCCCAAAATATCCTTGGGACTACCCAAAATACTTCTGGAACCACCCAAAAGATCCCCAGCCCTCCAGACTGCCCTTGGGATCCCCAAAATACCCTTCACCCCCCCAAAAAGTTCCCTCCAGCCTCTAAAAACACCCTCTAACCACCCATAGCCCCCCAAAACACTCCCTAGCTCCCCTAAAACAACCTCAAACACCGTTCTGACACCCTCCGACCCTGCTCTCTGACATCCTCCCACCCTCCTCGACCTCCTCGAAACACCCTTCCAACTCCTCCAGCCACCCTATGCCACCCCTAAATCCTCCCCAACAGCACCCGAAACACCCATGGCCCCCTGAAACACTCCCCAACCTCCCCTGAAACAGCCTTCCAGCTCCTCCAGCCACCCTAAACCCCCCCAAATCTCCCCCCTCCACAGGTACATCGTGTTTGAGGGCGAGGAGGGGCAGGACGCGGGGGGGCTGCTGCGTGAGTGGTACATGATCATCTCGCGGGAGATGTTCAACCCCATGTACGCCCTGTTCCGCACGTCACCCGGCGACCGCGTCACCTACACCATCAACCCCTCGTCCCACTGCAACCCCAACCACCTGAGCTACTTCAAATTCGTGGGGCGCATCGTGGCCAAGGCCGTCTACGACAACCGGCTGCTCGAGTGCTATTTCACCCGCTCCTTCTACAAGCACATCCTGGGCAAATCCGTGCGGTAGGAGCGGGGCTGGGGCTGAGCCAGTGGGGGCTGGATGCACCTCAGGGGGTGTGGGAGCTCGTTTGTGGGGTGCTGGACCCCCTCAGGGGGTGTGTGAGCTCATTTGTGGGGTGTGGGACCTTGTTCATGAGGTGCTGGACTCATTTATGGTGTGCTCGACCTATTTATGGGGTGTGGGACCACTTTCAGGTGATGCTGGATCCACTTTTTAAGGGGTGCTGGAGCCCTTTTTGGGGTGTGGAATTACGTTCATGGGGTGTGGGACCACATTCATGGGTTGCTGGACCCATTGATGGGGTGTGAGACTTCATTTGGGGGGTGCTGGACCCATTGACGGGGTGTGGAACGACTTTCTCAGGGTGCTTAACCCTTTCCTGAGTGGGGGATGAACCTTCTTGGGGCATAGAACTCCCCCTCCAGCGTGTGGAACATCCCCAGCTGGGTCTGACCCCATTTTTGGGGCGCTGACCCCGTTTTTGGGGTTTTGCCCCCCGCTGTCCCCCAGGTACACGGACATGGAGAGCGAGGACTATCACTTCTACCAGGGCCTCGTGTACCTGCTGGAGAA